CTTTCTGCAGACACGGATGAACAAGAGGTCCTTAGCGTTATAGACGTCGTCAAGGCCGATCTACCAAACCTGTCGCCAAGTGCGTTGCAGCATACCCAGGATGACGGAGCATCAAACACTCAGCTTCAACCACAGGACACCCGCAAACAACGTGAATCTACCATGCAAAACAAAAACTGTGCCAGCAAGACTTCTATGCCATCTACAAAGTGCAACACACAGAACCCTGGGCCATCAACTCCCCTCAAGAGTAAGCGTGTCCCTAAACCCAAGCTAACGAAAACCTTGGACAATGTATTCGATGCCATGGAGTCATTGGACGACCTTCCACTAACTCTTGCCACTGATGAAAATCGTGAACCCTGTTCTGATGATGACAGTACCGCCAAGTGTATTTACTGTGACACTGAATATTCAAGTGACAAGACACGGCGCATTTGGATTGGTTGTGATGGTGAATGCAGGGCGTGGATGCATAAAACTTGTATTCCTAAACATCAGAGGCCCAGAGTGCTTTCCAAAACTGAGAAATGGCTGTGTCCAGACTGCAGTGAACATTAACTTAGTGATGCACAACATTTAGATTCCAACATTTCTAAACTTTCTTTGTGAATTTTTTTTTTTTTATGATTGATGATTAATTTTATCATGTTTGACTTGAATTGATGCCTTAAATGGACTTATTAGACTAGACATGTCCAGTGAAAACTATAAAGTTTCTTTGTGAACTTTTTTTTTATGAATGATGATTAATTTTATCATGTTTGACTTGAATTGATGCCTTAAATGAACTTATTAGACTAGACATATCCAGTGAAAACTATAAAGTTTCTTTGTGAACTTTTTTTTATGAATGATGATTAATTTTATCATGTTTGACTTGAATTGATGCCTTAAATGGACTTATTAGACTATGCATTTTAATGTGAGACAATTTTAAATGTAACATTTTATCATGTTTTTTGTGATCAAATAAACTTTGTTACATTTTGAACTTTGACTATTCATTTAAAAAAATTAGAAGTTAAGGTCTAGAGGAAAAAAGCCACTTTCCGACTTGAGAAAATAAGTTGGCCATATTTTTTTACCCTTGATTACTTGAAAAAAAAATCCTCAGTAAGGCCAAGATATATAAATAGCGTGTTTCCTTTTCCAACCTCATTAAAAATAGGTTAAGTGGGTTGGTAAAACATTTTATTTTAATTTAATATTCAATTAACAAGAATCATTCTATTTTTGTTATGGAAATAAATGTCAACAGAAGTGATTGAAATTAAGATTTCTGAAAAAAAATTTCTTATTTTCAGAAAGATACTACAATGTAGTATTGTGCTATTGATGGATAAAATTTTTAGGGTCAGCTCATATATTTTAGGGTCGGTCAGGGAACAGGAAACACACAATTTATTTATCTAGGCCTCACACTGATGACCAAAACAAAATATGGTGCTTTACAGCATGACTAAAATTAGAACTTTTTTCATGTATGGGTCAAAGCAGACAACTAACTATTTAACAAGAAACATTTTTGAACGATAGAGTCAGTTGTAATAAAAATGAAAAAAAAAATCTGGTCTTAGGTCTTAGACAAAAAGAAAAAAACATACTTATAACATGGTTAACAGCATGAATCCTTTGATCTTACTATGAAAAAGTTGAGAAATGCACATAATATATTTGGAGGTAGAACATCCCAACACAATATATTGAAGTCAAGCCTCATCGTCAATAAGCACATCATCCTGTCGACTGCACACATCCTTCACAATGTCATGGAATTTCAGTAGTTCACACTTTTTCACCTTGGATATTGGTAACATCTGGGTAAATTCCAGTCTTAATGAAGCTTTCAGTTCGGTATTCAAGACACAGTTGTCAAGCAGGCCAGTGATAATGTCACATATTTCACTTTTACACTTGTTTGATATAAGGTTCTTCTCAGTTCTTTCCCTTTTGGTCACATACACTGGTTCACATGGTTGATCATCATTAATTCCAAGACAGTGCCGGTCAAAGTTTCTTTTTCGAAGATTCTCTGCCCTTGTCGTTATTTCCATAAGGGATGGATCCAGTTCCTCCGATGATAATGACACGTGAGTCACTTCTGCATCATACGGATCTGCTAAATAGCTCTTGGTACGCAAATGTGCTCGCCATGCAAACACCTGCTCACTTAAGTCAGTTTGGTGATGTGTAGCTTGCTTTTCAGACTGCTTAGATGGAGATAGGCACATCATTTCCCTTGCTTTCTTCTGAATCTGCAACATTATTGGTCAAATAAACTTTCACTTGAATTTCACAAAAGCATATTATTTAATCAATAAATTTTAATTAACTCTCTGCCAAAAATCCTTGATCTCAGTAAACCTCAGATTATGATATTGCTTAAACTATTAATATTGATAAAATCAATAACTACAATATCAATACTCACTTCTTTCAAACTGTCCAAGTTCCGAGTCACACGCAACCAGTCTTCTCCTGTAGGAACACCCCTAGGCATCCATGACTGAACATCTTTGTTTACAACTTCTGCTTTAAAGTCCAATCCCTCTCCTATTAAAATATAATAAATATAATAAAGGATTGATGCAATTATGATATACTGAATGAAAAATGTGAGCTTGCACTTCACCAGTTTACAAAGTCAATAATTTAAAAACTAATAACCAAGAATTTAAAAAAAAATGATTTTTAAATACTGTTTTATGAATTTAACCGTAAAACTTTTTAGGAAAGCCAATAAAAAATTTATATCTTAAACTCGATAAATGTCTAGATGAATCCATAATGAATAATATTAAGATTGCTAATCTAAAGATTTCATGTGAAATACAAATTGAGGAAATTAAATGCTTAGAGTATACTTTACCTGAAGTTTTATCTTCTGAGAGGCATACTGTCTCTGTCTGGTTAAAGAAGGTCTTAAGCTCCTCTGGGACAGACTGTCTCTGTATAGCTTCAGCCATCTCAATTTCCTGGTAATTAGGATGATGCCTTGCATGGAACAATGGAGCAAATATGGCTTTGGCTGAGGTGATGGCATCAATGCAACCGACTCGGAGACCTGTCCGGAAGTTATGAATAGCCTGTAGGTAGGTCAGTGACATAGTCGCCATGTAGATGAAGTTGGGATTCTTCACTTCAACCATCAGGAACTTCAGGAATCCTTGGGGAGTAATTGTTTGTTTGTTCTGAAGTGCAGTTCTCACATAGGGTACCATAAGTTCCTGAAGAGTTCCTTCATGTGCAATGCGAATGAGGCTCCAAGTTTTGTGATGGTCACTGCATTTCTTGGCTGCATTTTGAGCATTTTCCGATCGGAATCCCATCACTTTGCAAAGTTCGGAAAAAAACACATCCCAGTTCAGTTCTACAAAGGTCTTGCACATGTTCATCTCGAAATGTCCATTTCCTGGTCTTAGTATCACCCAATCAAACTCTCTAACTGCTTTTTCTTGTGCATCTCTGTGTACCTCATTATGATGTTCCTGGAACTCTTCTTTGGACATGAAGGATGTTGTAGATTCTTTGCAGAGAAAGCATCTGAGGGTGTTCTTAATTATATGTTGACAGAGTCCAAATGGTAAACCATCACAAACAACGAACAACCACTCTCGGTTTCCTTGTCCGTACTGCCTAATTCCTCCTTGTAAGCCTATCTGTCTTAAGATTGTTCTCACAGAATCATAGGAGTTCGGATTAACGAAGCAAGGGTCACTCAATGACAGGAGTGGTGAAGTGTCTGGATGTTTGCTGTTTAGTTGATTTTCATCTGTTTTAGTCGACGTTGGGCTCTGCTTTATGACGTAATGGCCATCAGGTGTGTTCACAGTTGTTAGCCGCACCTCAGACATCTTTGGTTCCGCCATGGTAATTTTCGTTTTGAAAGTTCCTTTGCCTTCAGGGTCCTGACTCGAAATCTCTGCCTGTTTTAGGTTGGTTCGGCAAGTCTCATTCCCACATATTCTTTTTGTTCTTGGGTTGACATGACCACATTTGCTGCAAACTTTCGTAGTTTCTTCTCTTCTCTGCTGCTCAACCTGCTGATCAATGGTATCCAGGTATTTCCCTTCAAACTTCTGCTGTTCAATCACGATGTTCAAGTTCTTCGCCAGTGTGCTGTACAACAAGCCATAATGAATGTCTGTAATTTCTTCGGGTTGCTCTCGGACATTTTTCAGCAGCTTTGCAGTGTCAATATTCCAAAACTTTGGCTTTAGGTGGAGTTGACGCTGTAACTGGAATCCTGGGTACTCGATCTGGCATATTGTTGTTACTGTGGAGGAATTCACTTTGTTGTTGACTTTCACCTTCCACGACCGGCCTATAATCTGGTTGTTGTCGAATATCACAACGCAATCTTTTTCTGGAAAGGGCAAAGGGTCCATAGTTTGTGAGGATAACCACTCCTTCACTGTATCATAATGTCCATGTGGGCCACTATTACCAAAAAGATTCACTGCCTGTTTGCTGTTTGTAATGTTGTACAGAAGCAGGTTCTCCATAAAACTCAATGGTAGAATTGCATTAGGCTGCTGTAGATGACAGAGGTATTCTGCTACCTTGGCTCTCTGGTACAGGTTCTTCTCTCTTTTCTTCTTACTGGTAAACCCATCCAGGAATGCCTCGAAAAAGGGTCCTATTCTCTTTATGTACTCCACTAAGTCAAAATCTTTGAAGGCAGCAACAGTCTTGAAACTATGTTCATGAACACTTTCCATGGTGATGACCAATCTCTGTCCAACCTTGTATAAAAGTTCCTGAAATTCTTTGGACCCAAGTTTAGCCACATCATCCTCCTTCTCAGGCAATGGGGAATCTGGTGATGCAGGGTGTGAAGTACCAGCATCGGTAAACAATCGCCTCTTCTTGGATGTGCTGGGTTGGGTAGCATAATCATGTCCATGGAGTGGGGAGTCTTCATTTCCTATGACTTCATGGGGATGAAGATTGTACAACTGATCAATGCAAAACTGGCATATCTGAATGGGGCGCTCTCTCACCTTCTGTAACTTCTTTCCAGTAACTCGTCGAAATGCATTCACCTCTGCCGATTTAGGTCGTTGTAGAATTTTACTGCTTACACAATCACTCCCATACAAGTCAGTCCATTCTGCATGAAATGGATTCCTACACTGCTTTTCCAGGACCATATTTACATGTTGTTTTCTTTGTTCACAGTGAGGATCTAAACGTAAGCAGACAAGATGCAAAACTATGGCTGCGAAGAATCCACAGATATCGTGCAAGAACAACTAGGTCTGATCCTACATCGTCAAAGCCACTTGTCTTTATATCCACTGTCAATGGGTAAGCACACCAATCTGTAATTTTATATTATTTAAAAATAAATGCCAAAAATTTACTTTCATATTTGTAATGACTGTAAACATGGTAAAAAAGAAATTTTATTGATTCAGATTTTGCATTCTAGTAAGGTTATTAATATCACAATAATGTATGTGACTAACTGTCACTAACACTTTATTCCACATTGGATGTCACCCTCATGTTTTAATGCATCATAACATTACTTTTCACTTAAATTTATTACCCCGGTATTGAATTTTTATGAAATATTTACATATGATATGGGGAAGCAGAGAAAATTTAAAAGAGTAACTAAACACATAAGTCATATCAGGGTTGGCAAAAAAGTGGGACTTACTCCTATTTCCCAAATCCAATATTCAAAGACATTGGGAGATACTGGTAATTCCCAGGAAATAATGGGACATAAGAAATATATAGTATCTACATATTTATTACATAAATTAGATTTTCCTGGGTCATGACTCATGACATACAGATATAGTACATCTTATTGGCTAAATCAACCCGGTATCACTTTCCTGGCCTGGTTTAAAAATTTCAGGTTTGCTTATGTACTATTTGTTTTTCACTAATCATAACACCACTTATACCAATTACATGTGTTTCCAGCTAAAAGTAAAATGTATAATATATAAGTGAAATGAACCGTAAGATCCCATCTGATATTTTTATGTATAAACTTAAAAAGGGTCTGGTGAAATTTGTAAGTGTAGACTATAAGGTAAATATCAATCTAAGAAGAAACTAAATGATAATTATCTTTCCAAGTTCAAGTTCAAGTTCAGTTTATTCAAATCATGGGATAAAAACTGTTCAGAGTTTCTTACTTAAAACAACACGATTGATTGTAAAAACTAGTGTTTGTAGAAAGATAAAAAAAGAAATAAATATTTAATAATTTTTTTTTTAATTCCTCATTTCAACTTTCAAATACATGTACCCACATATATATGTACATAATTATAAAACAATGCAGAATTTCATTAAACATTTACTCACTGATTCTATCACCTCACCCATTTAATAATTTTACTAGACTGATAGTGGGTTCGAAAATATCTATTTTGTTAATTATAAAATGCAATATTAAGAAAACATGTTCAGCTTTTGAATCATTATGGACAAGGGATTTGGAGTATTAATGAATACACTCTTTATATGCAAGCAGTTATTCCTATAATTTTGTGAAAAATTGGGGAATTGCTATCACAAAAATTTATATACATTTATAACAATTTTGAATTTAAACTGATCAGTAATAATATAAACATTTAGGGGATATGACATCTTATTAATAATATGATTTTTACAAAATACATACATACATACATACACAACTGTATTTTGACATGTTAGTTTTACAGTCATTAAACATGTAAAAAGTGTAAATTCAGGCAAGTATATTTTGTAAGGACAAGGGAAAAAACTAAAACAGATTATAAAACCCCCAATAGACCCTTCTCCTCTTACATTATTATACTATTATTCTCCTATTTTGTCTAGAAGATATTCCCCTTAGCCACTGTAGTGTAAGGCAACATTTCCAAATCCCTTTATTTTTTGACCAAGTTTAATTCACTGGTTAATGAGGTAAAGATAACTCTATTTTTCTTATGAATATACATTTTTTAAAAGCTTCTATTAATTCATGATTATAAGATTGTAAATATTTTTCTAATACCGGGTCTAATTAATTTTTTAAAAGCCTCCAATAATTCATGATTTTAAGGTTGTAAATATATCCCATATATTTTTTGTACGCATGTTTAAAATTGGTTCCTCGAAGAGGAAAAATCACAACTTTGCCCTTCAAGATGACAGCAAAGGGGAATAGTTCCTAAGCAAAATACTGCATACAGGGTTATTTTCCCCCGTGTTATTTTCGCCCTATCACATCTGAAAACAAGTTTGCCCCGTTTTTAATTCGCCCAAAAAGATTTTTGTTTAAGATATTATACAGTTTAGTTTGAATTAAACGGGGGCGAAAATTTCCCTGTATACAGTAAGTCATGGGAAAAAGTCTATTTCTATATAAAATTTTGCTTAATGATTTACCTAACAAATATTTTTCAAAGAGCGGAGGTGTAAAATCTTATATATTGGAACTTGCTTAATAAAATATTAAATTGAAGAAAAATTTTTGCTCACAACACTGCTTATCTCTCATAGGTATCATCATTTCCGCACTGTGCCACAAATTGGAGAGAACTACCCTATGTCTTGTGTGCCTGAACCAGGAAATAGGTTTGATCAGTTTGCGTGTCTAGTTAAAGGACCTGGTGAGGATAATTCCACAACATATGGCCGGGTACCAAAGAACATCTGTAATGTTATAAGCCTAGGACTAGGGAGACACAATGCGCTATTGCGAGCGAGCTGTTTTTACATGGGACATATGGTGCATGATGGACAGAGAGTAGGTGGTGGACCAAAACTTGTGTGCATGTACGTCCTGGAATACAAAGACAATGTTGATGTCTACGAGGTTGCAAATCACTTGAGAAGATACGTCAATGAGAATCTAATGTACATGTAATGAAGATTCTACAATGAACTACTGAATAAGGTGCATGATGGACAGAGAACAGACAGCGGACCATAACTTGTGAACATACAGTGGTCAATGTGAAACTATTAAATGTACTTATGAACAATCTACATTGACCTATTGCTAAATTATAACAACAATAATTTATTTATTATTTATTCATTCTGTGTATGTATGTGTAACTAATCTCCGAGAGTACTTTTTAAAGTATTTCTTTTTTCATAAAATCTATCAAAAAAAAAAAATGATGTAAAAAAAAAAACATAATATACATACTGGTATTAAACAACAATTTTTTACTTCAAGTACAAATTCTTTTTATTGAATGAATAATAAAGTTCAAGTTGAGAAAAATGTGTATATACCTAACAGGTTTTTAACACCTGTCAGTGTTGTCTGATTGTTGAAATGTAATTTTCTCCATCATGTTTATTTTTTTTATCAAAACATGAAAATCTATTTTCTGATTCTATTGCAAGTGTATATGTAAATATATTATCTCTGTGTTTGTGTTTTTTCCTAAAAATAAAATTCTATCAATTCACTGTTTTATTCTCTTGTCATTCCTGATGCAAATGAGTTTGCCGTCATAAAACTTTGAGAAATCTTTGAAAAAAAATTCTCAACTCTTGAGAATTCAGCTGAGAATAAAATAGTTTAAGGTAATATTAATTTTCTCAACTTCTTTGTGATGGCTGCTGAGCCTGAGAATTTTGGATTTGAGCAGTCTCAGACTTAAGTATGGTTTATAACGGCAGACCATGTAATACATGTTGAATTGATTTTTTGATATTTTCCTTATAAATGACAAAATTATGACAAATGAAATTCTCCTATGATATGGAATGCATTCGTATGGGCATCAAAGAGGGGAAATTGTTAATACCTGAGATTTTTTTTCTTAATTCAACTTTAGCTACAAAGATGTTAATTTTTGGAACAACTTTTTTTAATTTCAAAATTAATGCAGTTTTTTCTTCAATTTTTTTTTTTTTTAGAAAATTTTTAATTTTTTTTATTCCAAACAAGATTTCTTGTAGCCTTTTAATTTCATATTTGGTGCATTCTTTTCTTTTACATTTTTTTTTTTTGTCTTTTATTTTGGGTTTTTTTTTTTTTCATATAAAAATTTTTTTTTCTTTCTTTTTTTTTTAAATCTAATTATTTTAATTTTTAATTACAAAAATATTGTAAATTGTTTGTAACATTTTTTTTTTTTTATTTCAAAATTGGTTTTTTTTTCTTTATTTTTTTTTTTTCATCTACATGTATTAGTTATTTTTCTTTTTAATTACAAAAATATTGTAAATTGTTTGTAACATTTTTTTTATTTCATATTTTTTTTTTATTTAAAATTTTATTTTATTTTTATAAATTTTATTCTTCATTTTTTAAATTTATTATTTATTTACACTTATTATACCAATCACCTTGAACTGGGTGGAATGACCTTTACCCATGTAAAATTTAAAATAATAATTTATTATTAATATTAAAGATATGTCCATATTTTTTCCCCAATATTATAATTAATATATATATATATATATATATATATATAAAACCTTTTTGCTTGTTGATGTGTGGACGTTTACATGGTTTATAGAGTGATGAGTGTGTATGAAAAAAAAAAATTACTCATGAATACTCTGCATGTTCAGGTGATTCTCTCTGTATAGATATCCAAGATACAAAAGGAATATGAAGAATGGTTATAAAATGTGTAAGGAACTTATCATGCTTAACCGTGTGTGCATGATGTTCACATTCCCTTGCTGATTTTTATTTAAAAAAAAATTTTCTTCAATAAATAAATTTTTTAAAAATTAAAATCATACAAAAATGAATTGTCTATACCTTTGTTTTCATACAAAAAATAAAAAAAAATTTTTTTCGTTTTTATTTACCTCATTTTTGAAGCACAAAAGTTTGTTTACAAGACAGAGGAAATTCGGACGGGCACACAAGAAAGTATCGAAAAATAATAAATAAGTTGTAAATTACACAAAATTTGTAATACCGGGGAAGAGAATTTTGTGTAGTTCAACTTTAAACCAACCATTGTTTGTTTATTCGTCCGTTTTATCAAATTATGAATAAAAAATTCTAGTTGTATCGAGCATGGAGGCCAAGCCACAAAATACGCTAACTTTGGGAGAGAAAAAGTCTCGATTTTTACAATAAACATATACATTTTCGCAATACAATCTCTTCAAACATCATTAAACTATGAAATTTGAGTACTTACAGAGCTACGAAATAATCCCTCACATTGCACCAGCATAATTTGTGGACAACACGTTTTTTCGTGATAACGGTACTTTTTTGAGTGTCTGCGCATGCTTTGAATTTTAGAAATTATTAAAAATTTTCAAAACGAGAAGTGATAGAGACATGGGACCAACTGCATAAGATTCATTGAGCTTTGAACTTAAAATTCATGTAAAGGTCAAAGGTCAAGGTCATTCCAAAATTGAGAAATTGAGCTCTTTTTATATCTTTTTGTCTTTTAACATATACAAACTGGCTTAGCATCATTAATATGTACTCTTAAAACTATTTTAAAGATTCAATTTGTATTCCGTAAGATTGACTCTATTAAAAGTTATCGCCCTTTGTGCGGAAAACCTTGTTATCGCTACTACTGCGAAACCATAAACCGTACAAATATGAAACCTTCACTAAAGTCTTCGACTAATTGAGAGGACTCTGGAATCTATTCATTGAGAAAGTATTCGTTGACTCCTTCAATGAGTTATTGCCCCTGAAACTTTTTGAATTTTACAAAAAATTAATTTTTTTTAAAACGAAAAGTTGTAGAGATATGGGACCAACTGCATAAGATTTATTGACCTTTGATCTAAAATTTCATGCAAAGGTCAAAGGCCAAGGTCATTCAGAAAATGAGAAATAAAGCTTTTTCTATATCTCTTTTGTCTTTCAATATATACTTAATGTCTTTGCATCATTAATATGTTCTCTTAAACTCTTTCAAATATTTTATTCTTGTCCCCAAAGATTAACCCTTTAAAAAGTTATTGCCCCTTGTGCAAGAAACCTTGTTATCGCTACTTCTCCGAAACCGTAGACCGTATAGACACTAAACCTTCACTAATGTCTTAAGGGTCTTAAGGCCTAACTTCACTATATAAGTGCAAAAGGATCTGATGACCGCTTATATGAGTTATTGCCCTTTAACTTCTTTGTACTTCCTATTTAACCTTATCACTTGAAAACTATAAGTCGTAGAAGCATGAGGTCAATTGCATTGTGACCCTTGACCTTTAACCTTGAATATTTTTTTCAAGGTCAAAGGTCAAGGTCATTTCATTTTTTTTTATTTTTAATTTTTGCTATCCTTTAAGACAATTTTGGTTTCTTATTCATGGAATTAAATTTTAAAACAAAATTGAAATTCAAAGAAGGTGGAAAGACCTCTTATTGTTCTTTGAACAATAAGTCTACTAGTTGTATAATTGTTTTGCTATTCATTGGCTTAATCTTTCCCTTATTATTGTAAGAATCTTATACTTGTCTGTTATGGGCTCTAAATAAAAAAAAATGTTCTGTTCTGTTCTATAGGTGGGGGCCCAGGGGGCGAAGCCCCCGGAAGCTCCTGGGTTTTCGTGTATTTTAGTGTAAAACCAGGCACAATAATAGTGCATTTTTTTCAATTATTTTTGTTAAAAGTATATAGCATATAGGTCCGTACGTATGTTTGAATAATAAATGTTTTGAATGTTTCTCAATTCTCATTGTATTGTAACACATGCCACTATATAATAAGCGATTTAATTACTTATTACTTACTAATAGTGGTATTGGTTAGTGATGTACCAAAGTACGACGTGTTTTATACTAGTTATGTCATACTTTGAATAGTGGGGGCCCAGGGGGCGCAGCCCCCGGAAGCTCCTGGATTTTTGTGTATTTCAAGAATAAAACCAGGCAGAATTACAGTTATTTGGTTAGTTTTGTACCAAAATGTGGCATTATAAATATTAGTCACATTATACTTTGAAAATTTTAGGGGGGGCGTGCGCCCCCCACGCCCCCCCCTTAAATCCGCCAGTGTTATCAGTGGGTTTATTTGGAGAAATCTGAAGAAAATAAAAAGAAAACAACTATCAAACATAATTCTTTTCTTTCGGGAAAAATTTTTGAAAACAGAAATTACATTTATAGCAAAATTGAAAATGGATAGACACGGCACTAAGTACACACAACATAGGATGTCAAAATTACTCTTGGAATGGACACAAAGGTATTGGATGACTTCTAGGTGATATGATTAGATAGCCAGTTGCTGGTGTATATTATTATTTTTATCTGAGAGACTAAGTACTGCTTATGTTGCAACCTCATTGACCACCACTATCAGTAATCATATTCATGTTCATATCTCATAAAAATAGTTTATTGCTTTATATTTTCGACTTTTCATACCATTTTCACGCATAGATCCGCGTTTCGAGGAGGGGTCCGCGTTTACTAGAGGGGTGTCCAAGGTCTTTTTTGCTTGGTGTAGAATGTACATTTAATGACTGCAAATTCCAATGGGGTCCGGACACCCCGATCCCCCTCTAGATCCGTGTATGTGATGAATAAAAATTCAGTACACTGGAAGAAATTGGACACCCCCCCTCTCTTCCTCACTTTAATAAATAGGATTTTCGACAATTTTGGCGATTCCTTAGAGGGGGAGGGGGGTTGTCAATTTTTTTTTCAAGTTGATTTTTTTCTATGGCTTCCCCTTTTCAAAATGACGCAGGAATATTTTTACTAAATTCAAAAGGTAAACCGGAAAACGGGCCGTTTTTGGTTTCTTTTTTCGTGACGTTTCAATAGTTCCTATTTGATTTTTTTGTTACAAAAGTCAAATGATCTTGCAAATGTAGCTTGTTTACAAATCACATTGCATTGGAAGGATGTCCGAAGTTGCATCAGTAGTGAGTGAAAATGAAGAAGCAGTAAAGGTTTGTCTTTATGGTGATCATCTTTTTTTAACGACGGATCAGATTATAAACCATACCATGCACTTTTCAGATTTAAGTGTCAGTTGACAAAGAAAGAAACGGGACGTACAAGGCGAGAAGAATCCCCCTTTATGAAATAATTTAATATACCATTTACTACGAAAAATCCACAGTGATGTAACATCGTTTTTGAAAATGGGAGGCCTCCCCAAGGGGGAAAAATTCCCCATCTTTTATCCGCAACTCCTGACCTCTTATACCA